TAAATTAAGAAAGAAATTAACTAATGTATAATACTAAAATTTGAATTAAAAATACAATTTGATACCAAACTTATTGATATACATTCATAAAATAGTAGTTCAATAAACTTTTGAATTCAAGTCTATAAATGTGATGACATGGACTTTGACCCATGACCATAGGAAGACCCGTCTCGGTAAGGTTGATGAGCCCAATGATTAATCAGTTATCTAATTCCACTAATTACTCGGCTCTGGTCAGAGTGTTACTCATTATCACAGTCTGTGTCAATTGACTGTTTTCTTGGTAAGTTAATGTGGCCTCACTCTCACTATGTTCATCATTGTGCTTGTCATGTGATGGGCATAATGAACATTCTTGCAGACTCCTTTACATGGTGTCATTCACTTCTTCCTGCTGAATGAAGATTTCACCAGTCTGTGTTCCATTGGGTGTGTAATCATCTCGAACATCTCATGATCAATACTTTTGTCATTTCAGACAATTGTTGTCTTCCTCATTTTAGTTCCCATTCCAAATTCTTCTGCTGTGGAGGTTCTAGGTTGGAAGGATCTATTCCATTATGCCTACCATCCTGTAGTATTCACTTCCACATCTTTCCGAGTTATTTTCTTTTCTACCTTTTGCCCAACACAACGATAGTTTTCTCTTCACACCTTTTCACTCTGGAATATCTTTTTCCTCTTTTGCCTAACCTTCTTAATTAACCTCAAACTTCAGTCTTCCACTTAATGGTTTGACGTCTACTTCTTCCTGGTTAGCTGTTGTCTGGCCCTTTGCAAATTATTGCTGCCATTCTTTGAATCACGTTGGGCTATTTTTTATTCCTGGTGTCATTGACACTGTTTCTTTCACCTCCTCAACAGGTGCAGTCCTTTTTCATGTATCTCTTTTGTGAAAGAGGCCTTTCTGCATTCCATATTTATTGGCCACCTACTGATGCTTTGTGACTACATTTACTGAGATGTATCTGATCACCTAAAATTGAAAATCAGGTTTCATCCCATCAAGTTTAACATTTTGCAATATCAATATTCCAGTCATCTTACCCTTTGGAGGATATCATGTGGGCCAGTATATGGATGACTCCAAATACATGTTTCCAGTTTGATTCACATTAATTTGCTGTCTCTTACCTCCAACATCCTTAAAGGTACGTTTAGTTAAACTGCTACAGTCTCTCTCTATGATAGCTAGAATTTCTGCAAATGGTTTGGAATCATCCATTCAAGACCTGCTTATGTTCATATGAAACCTCAACATTGGTCTATGAACCATACCACCGTCTATGCTGGTGCTCCATTACAGGGTGATGCATTCTGGATGTGGAAGAGGATGACATCTGGTGATGTCTTATGCCTCAGTGAATGCTTATCTTCTCACCTCTGCAATTATAACAGAGTAGGTGGAATATCATTATGAATATCCATACTGTTTTTCAGCTCCACTCTTGAATGGGGCACAATGTTCTTATTTTCTTCTGTGATGTTCCCAGTGTGCTGTAGTTGAGTTGTAAAGCTTAGCTTCCAGTCACTTAGTCTTATTAGCTTCATTGCTAACATCAGAGCAGTGCTCTGATGGCTTAAGTGACTTATCCACCATTATATATATGCCAAGAATGGCCCAAGATCCTTATCTTTAATCATGCAGTTGAGGGTGTTCCCATCTATGTTAAAAGTGTGAATCAAATTAGGACAATCCAAATGCATTATCTTGCATTTATTATAGTTATAGGTCATTCACCCAATATTTGTCCAACTTACCAATTAATCCAAGTCATTCTGTACTATGTCAAAATTCTCAATACAGGTAGAAATCCTCAAGGTTTAATGTTATCAGTAAACTTTACTAATCTAAAGTACCTAATGAAACAATGGTCACTCTTCACAAAATATTTCCCCTACTTAAAGCATGGCAACTCAAGTAATGAATAAGTCATGCTACAATGACAGGATCATTGGACAGTAGAGGAAGCTACTCTCAACATCAATCTCTTAGAACTTTTAGCAGTTCAATAAGCTATGACTCAGGGTCTTGAATTGTTGTGAGAGAAGGTGGTAATGCTTCATTCGGACAATTCCGCAATAGTCTCAAACATTTCAAAGCAAGGTGACACTCACTCCAGATCTCTTTGTTTTTGAACAGTAGATCTTCATCCTAAAGATTTTAGTTGGATCTGCTCTTGTTTAGGGACACCACAGATTAATGCTTTTGCTTCACACTGGAATGCTCAGCTCCCATTCTTCTGATCTCCAGTACCTCACCTTCTGGCTTTGGGAGTAGATGCTCTCAGCCAAGAATCGATGAGTCTTCATCTTTATGCATTCTCTCTGATTTGTTTGCTTTCCAAGGTTCTGGCACTGATTCACTCCATGTCCTGTCAAGTTCTTCTGGTGGCACCATATTGGCTTGGTGAGCCCTAGTTTCCACTCCTTCAGTATCTTCAGGAGTGTCAACCTCTTCCCCTTCCTTCCTGGCCATCTCTCTTATGTCAGCCTTTGTCGGACATTTTTCATCCAGTGGTTGGCGTGCTTTGACTTCATGCCTGGCTTTTATGCAGTTCATTGCACGTCATCAGGGATTGACATCTCAAGTGCCATCCTTATTAACATGTTCCATTCAACATTCGTTTTTGGAAATTTATCAAAGGAAGTGGTTTACTTATTGTCAATGGTTTCTCAGACCTAGGTTTAACCATTCGCATCCCACTCTGCTACATGTCTCAATTTTTGACATGGGTGTTTGGCAGCATCATCTGTTGCTTTGTATAAGGCTACCTTATAAGCTACTTTTTGTTTTTTCTAAAACAAAGTTTTTGAGTCCCCAATTTTGTAATTACTTTTGAAATCATTTCGGGTTATCTGTCCTCATTGCCTTTCACAGGTTCGTAGTTGAGATATCACAGTGGTTCTCCATGCCTTATTACATCCACCATTTGAACATTTGGGCCAGGTTCACTATATCATCTTTCACTTAAAACAAGGTTTCTTCTGTTATTGACTAGCAGGTGTCAACTTTCAGATGGGTTTGTGCTTCATGTTTACAGGATACAATACCATTCTATCTATGTTCTGTTGTATCCAGACAGGTCCTTTCTACCTAAAGCAGCTATGGAAGGAGATAAGGCTTTCTCTCCTATTAATTTTCCCTCCATTTTCTAATTATACAACCATTGGGGTCCAAATCATCTTTTATGTCCTTTTCGGACTCTTTGACGTTATGTGGCATGCACTGAAGTATTTTGGGGCTCATGTCACTGGTTATTTATCCATTGGGATACTTTGGTATCATATTCCTATTATACAATTATATCATATTATGGTCCCCATGCCTTAGCCACGACAACTTAGATCTAGCTTTGCATCAACAGCCCTATAATTCCAATGATGAGATGGGGAACCTCGTCTGTGTGGTTGGGGCCTGGATGAATATTTTAATAATGAACAATATTGACTCTCTAGCCAGTTGCCCTTTACTGACATTTAACTTTCATGTTATCTGGGCGAAGAGCATACCTGTTCCAGAAGTAGTGGCAGACCCCACTAGTGTGCTTTATTATATCTCAATTTTGCACACCTTTTTGTATGTGAATCTTGCCTTCACTGACCCCTCCACCATGTCAGTGTGTGGTTCTAGCTAAAGTTAGAGTGGATGTAAGTGGTTTTGAAAGCTTGCATTTTCGATTACCAAAATTTTATTTCCGATAATACTTACCTCTTCGCACACTATCCTGCCCTTCCTCTCCATGATAGCCAGTGTTTGGCTCTGATAATCTTGTCAGTCAGTCTCAGGAAAGTGAATAAGAAAGAATAATGTGGAGCTTATTTACAGATTGGGTATAGAGTGCGCATTGACGTAGGTGAAGAAAGTAAAAGATTGAAATAGCTAGGGGTGATATAGTAGGGTATAAAGACTGGAGCAAGCAAGGTAGAATTCATGCCAATACTTAGATGGGTAAAGAGGAGAACCTTTCATCTGGATAAAGCTAAAGTGTGGGATAAGTATTATTGGAAGTACATTTTCGGCATAGAAAAATGTATACTTTTGTTTGTTTTTTCTTTTGGGAAGAAGTCATGCCACTTTGAATGCATAATCATTTTATAGTTTACAGTATTACTGGTGCCATTATTACCATATCTCTTCAGGTGGTCCAAGTTAGACTCATATCAAAAATGAAGATTCAAATTTGATTCATGCATCAGGTGTTAGAGCGTGCTTTTTCACATGCGATCTGTTAAGAATACACAAACAGTAATGAAATATTAATAGTATTTAAGAAACAATTGCTTGTAGAAGACCTATTCCATCAAGCTTACAGTATATTAGGAAATTTAATAGTGAGAAAAGGGAATAAAAGTATTAACATAATGTAATAAATTTAGGGATTTGATATATCACAAGTAATGAAACATACTTTTTATTCCAAATATTCAGAAACAATTTTTTATTTTTATCATGTTCAGAACAAACAACATGTATAAATGAATGTATGCTTGTTCTTGAGGAAAACTAGATATTTATTGTACTTTTTTAGAATGATGTTTTGTTTTAGCGTACTTATTTGTAGGGAAATAGGTATAAAATTACTTTAATAAGAGGGTAATAAGTCATTTCTTAGTGCACAAATGATATGATTTTTAAAATTCTTGCTAAGAAGAAAGCCACATTGCTTGTATTCAACTTAATACTTAGGATTACAGATTATTCAGATCCTTCCATAATAGCTGAGTGTATTTAGTATTCATAAGCTATGGGTTCTGAGCATTTTATTTTTAAAAAAATTATTTGATCAAATTATATTTAAAACTATTTTAAATTCGGGTATTCATCTTTTTTGTAGGTTGGATCATGAATAATAGAGTTATGATGTCTACACATGTATGATATTGATAGGTATATGAATTCTGTGCAAGATAACAAACAGAGAAATTTGTTATATCTGTCCTTTGCTGGTACTGTATGTATTTAATATCAATGTTCTTAAAATTCTATTCCACAGACTCTTCACATTCTTCACAAATTAGAGAATGTTCAAGTGACTGTTGACCTCTTACAGGTAAGATTAATGTAAAGTACTTTATAATCATGGTATACAAATAAACTTGGCACCATAACATAGCTAATAATCCAAATTTTAATATTATATAAGTTTTTAGTTTTAATGTTATAAGGAAATATTAAAAAAAATTTTTCTCTAGTATAAGAATCCTAACATATGCTCTCTAGATATCCCTTTATCTCTAATCTATTTAATATCCCTCTGAGAAGTAAGAAATTTAACATAAATTACTCATTATAATGTTTTCATTGCTCAGGCAAAGCATAATTTTTATAGCCTTCAATCTTATTTGGTTACAGAGCCATAAACTAGAAAATGTAACCCCTCTTGCCATGCCCACCTGTCACATTTACTCTCTTACAAATTGCCAATAGTTTTTCTGATGTTCAATACTACATTATTTATAACCAAAATAAGCCAAAGTTTTATTCTATCAAATAATGTGTTACCTTATGTTGTTTTCTATACAGATAATTGTTTATTTTTCTTTCTCAGTTCAAACTTTATTTCTATGGGAAACACATCGAGGAGCTTAGCTGAATTTGTGATGGCTCTTGTTGCATAATCAGAAAGCTAGAAAAATTGTGGTAGTTATTGATGTTGTCTGCTTTTTATGTGTTGTTATTCTGTGTTCTTTGTTGCATTATTTAGTCAAATAAAAAAATCATTTAGTGCAGTAGTACCATTAGTATAAAAAAAAGTAGGCTTAATTTTCATCGACACCAAAAAAAAGAAAACCCAGGTAAGTACTATATTTCTTGTTTTTATGTGTATCCTTTATTTATCATCGTGAAAGTGACTAAAATGTAAAAAATAGAAATTTTTTAGGTTAAGTTAGGTAAAATAATAATAATAATAAAAATTTTCAAGAGGTACGTTTGTGAGCAGCTTGTTAATAGTCTGTGCCTTGCATAATTTGAGAGGGTAACATGAGCTGCACGTTCATCAAGTGATTTTCAACTTGTGATAGTTAGACATAACTCAAGGGGTATTAAAACATATATAAGTAGAAACATATATACTGTTACAAGTTTAAAGCTATTAAGGATAAACAAATATAGTTTCATGTTACTGTTTGAAGTAAGTCTAGAAAGAAAAAAGGGTAATTTAGATTTATTTTGAATTTTTTTATGGTGGTTACAAGGTCAGTCAAATTAACCAACCTTGTATAGAGTTAGGGTAGAGAGAATAACAGACAAAATTTTAATTTTTCTGAAAAAAAGTTTGAAATTTAGTTAGGAGGTTTTAAGTAATTACACAAATGAAATTTGAGAATATTTAGAAGGAAAGTATTTTTAACCTTAACATTAAAATCACTTTGCTCTGGGAGCAGTAAACACATTGACTCCATGTATTCACAGAGAAATTTGTAAATTTCTTAAAATTCTGATTTTTTTTTTTTTCTTATACAAATGACTTCCCCCCCCCAGTAGCACAGTGGTATGTCTTCGGACTTGCAATGCTAGAAACCAGGTTTCAATACCTGTAGTGGGCAGAGCACAGATAGCCCATTGTGTAGCATTGTGCTTAATTATAAACAAACAAACAAATGACTCTTAATGCTTAGTGAAAACTTGTGAAATTTCATGAAGATACACAAAACATGTTAGAAGTTATAGTATGGAAAATCTAAAGGTCAATTTGGGGTCAGTTTTTTAGGTCAACTTGATGAAGCCCATAGTGAGAGAGTTAAACAGAAACATTTTGTAAATGGACATGAAGCTGCTTCAAACTTCTATAAGAATGTTTGATTTTCTATCTCATGTTTACCTTGTTTGTATATATTATGATGTTGCAATTTTTAGGCTCATGTAGAGTTAATTAGGCAACAAGTATACCTACAAGCTTTGACTTGGCTGTTTTTTTTCCTTAGAATAATATTGGGCCTTTTGTAACATAGGTTATGTTCACCAGTTCATTGTTTTCTTTCTTTTGTAAGTTCACATTTCACTGGACTTTTCAGTTTTTTAGTTACTTGTGTTCATTTCAGGGTGGATAATGCTTCTCTTAAAGGGCTAATAGTCTGGTTAATGTTCCATTTTCATCTGTTTATGGAAATAATTTCTATACCTTAGTGATAGTTTCTCACTTAGTTAAAGGTGGAGTTATTGCTTTTTTTAAATTTATATTACAGCATCATATTCTGTGGCAAGATTTCCTTATTTCATTTTTGTTTCATATTTGGATGGGAGCCTTCCACAAAGATACATTTGGGTAGGATAAGCTCAGAATATGCTTGTCTGATATGGACTATGGCGCTTACAAACGAAGAGACTGTTTGGCTTTGATCACTAAGTTTGGTCCTTTTTTTGTCTTTCTTCACCACCTCCCAGTGGCAAAAATTTTGGGGGACAAAACAAGACATCTTATACTCGCATGGAATTTTAAAGGGGACTCATTATTCCCACTAAAATTTATCGTACTAAATTACATTGAGCCAACATTTGGTTTCAAAAAGTACTTTGTACTGAGTTTGGAAGCCTCAAAGTGCTTACAGAACTTGGAAAGGATCAGAAAGTTTTAACCATTCTAACACACCTAGCTTTTTTGGGGGGGATAACAGGTCTCTTATTGTAGGATATATCTGGTTGACTTCTAGCACACAAGGAAATAAAACATTCCATAAAATGGTAGTGTGCATGCAGATGTTTTCTTGTTATACATACAACATCTGTTCTATGCATGTAGGATTAAATATGGGGGGGGGGGTGCAAATGCCCCTTTGTCCCCTTGTAGTGCCACCACTGCCACTTCCATATTTGAGAAAGATAGTGTATTCTGTTTGCTACTCCATTTTTCTTTTTTTTGAGATTCTTTTCAAATGTCTGTTATAAATCATTTTTCAAATCTATATTTTAAGAATTAAAATATACAGGCAGTGGACAAAAAAAATGGAAACACTTGGGTAAATGAGGACAACAAGTATATGCAATGCAGAAGCTTCCACACAGGTGTGGCTTGTCCATTAATTAAGCAGATAACATCCCAGGATGCATATGGTCATGTATAAAAATGCTGGACAGGCCTGGTTGCCTATAATCATGGCTAGCATGGCTGCAAGAGGAGACCTCAGTGACTTTGAAAGAGGGGTGATGCTATAGTTGGGTTGTAGTGTGCAAACTCTTCATCACATCTGAAAATGCACAGTTGCGTGTCCAGTGGTGCAAAGAGTACAGGCTATGGACTACCAAGCAGTGGAGAAATGTGATATGGTCAGATGAATCATCCTTTACCATGTTCTCAACAAATGGACAAGTACATGTGTGGCACCAATATAAAGAACTCTACAGCCCTGAGTATTTGGTTCCAACAGTGAAGGGTTCTGGTGGTTCTGTAATGGTGTTGGGGTGCATTTTCCTGGCATGGTTTGGGTGCACTCATAACTTTAGAAGGCAAGGTCGATGTCAGTTATTACTTAATGGTATTGAGTGATCATCTTCACCCCATGCTACAGCATTTCTGTCCTGCAGAGAGGGGTGTCTTTCAGGATGACAATGCTCCCATCCACAGAGCATGAGTGGTCACCTAATGGTTTGAGGAGCATAACACTGATGTTATCCATATGTCATGGCCTTCTAAGTCACCAGATATGAACCAAGTCAAGCATGTATGGGATATTTTGGAACGACGCCTGAGACAACGTTTTTCCACTTCCATCAACTAGGCATGAGTTGATTGACTTTCTCATGGAAGAGTGGTGTTGCATTCCTCCTGCAGAATTCCAGATGCTGGTGTAGACTCTATGCCATGGTGCATACAGGCCATACTGGCCACACGTGGTGGCCCAACACCCTATTAATTGACTTTACATTGGTGTTTCCTTTTTTTTTTTGGTCACTACCTGTAATTGAAAGAGATGCATGTATGTGAGAATGGAAACTTCCTTTCTTTTCTCTCCTACTTGTAATATCGGTTCGAATATGACACTGCTATCCGGTTTGGCTTGAACCTGGCCCTTCTTTTTTGATCAATGTTGGTTCAGTACATTGTTCAAAGAAGAGGGTTCATTGTCTCTTCTTAATTCTGAATACATAGTGGTCCCATCCTGGGTTCTTGGTTGAGCACAGTTTGTTTCCCTTCCTCTCCATAACCTGGGGGTGTGTGTGCAGATGAGTGTTCGTAATTCCAGACTGTATGAGTTCTGTTTCCTGTGATTTCGACCCTGGGGTGTTGCCTTTCGGACTTCTTCAGATGGATGAGAAGGTTTGTCCTCTTTGGTGTTGCTTACCTTCTCGTTGTGATTCTGGTGGTTTGGAACGCATTACTCTATGGCTACAGGTTGGGATCCACTAATTAATTCCACCCACAATACAGGAATTATGTTCAGGGTGAAGAGCATACCTGTTCTGGATTTACTATGGTTCTCCCACTAGGGTGCCAATCTTCTATCGACACATCCCTGATTTATGCAGACACTTCTGTATGGATAATGCCCTCACTGCCCTCTCCACCTTATCAATGTGGGATTCTAGCTATAAGCATGAGAGGAGGTAAGTATGTTTTTGAAGTTATCATTTTCTTAAATCGAAAATGTATTTCCTATAATATTTACTTCCTCTTGCACTCTTTCACCCTTCCTCCCCACTAAGAGCCAGTGTTAGCGACTGGGATTGAGTCAGTCTCAAATAAGTGATAACATTATCTGAATGAGGTGCTTATATACAGTACCAGGATAGAGGGCACATTGACATAGGTGGAGAGTGTCATGAGACAAATATTGCCAAGAGCAATTAAGTGGGGTATGAAAGACTGGAGCAAGTGCGAAAAAATTTGGACCAATGCTTAGATGGGCAAAGGAAGAAACATTGGCAGTCGATTAATAGCTATAAGTGTGAGAGGAGGTAAGTATTATTGCAAATACATTTTCAATTTAAGAAAATGATAACATACTTCTAAGGATATTTCATACAACTTATGAAATTTGACTGCAAATTGATTTGTAAAATCTCAAGATAACAGGTGTTGAAATTATTTCTACCTTTAACTCTCTCAACATAGGGTTGGTCAATTTGACCAAGTCACGTGACCTTTTGTACTCGTTTAAAGTCTTTATAAATTTAATACTTTTTACTCTCAATATACTGGGTATATCTTCATGAAATT